CTTGTAAAATTTTGGTTTTGAAAAATAAAGAAAGGGAAAAAAAAAAAAAAAAAAAAAAAAAAAAAAAAAAACAATAGAACCACAGAGCTGACATCTCTCTACAATCAAACGCAATCCCTATTTGCATCCAGCTCCATCAACTTTGAAGGTGCATAATCCTTTCATCTAAAATCGCATCCATGTGTTGTCATTGTTCTTTCTTTTCTTTTTTTTGCTGACAAAGAAATTCATTTTTCCCTGTACAGAAAATATGCAATGCTTTCTCTGTTTTAGCTGCGTAAGCTCTGTTAAGATCAGTTTTATGTTTGCAGGAGGACAGAGTTTATGCAATGTACCTTAACCATAATAGTTATCATGATAATTTTCCAAGAAGTGAATTTACTTCATAACAGCACTCTAGAAATACAGCACAGGGAATATGCAGAACATTGAACTCCTCTTCATGTTGCATAAAAAAGTGTTGAGGGACAAGTTTCCTCAGGGTACCTGCTTTTCTCCTGAAGTTTTGCTCTAAAGTTGTATAGGAGATTGATTGATAGGTGCCTTTTTAAAACTCACATATCCTCAAAATATTATGTGTTGTTTTTTTTGTGTGTGTGTGTTTTTTTTTCCAACACAACCCACAAGTACCACTTAAAAAGTTCTCAAGCATTATTTTGTATTATTCAGGAATAATGGCTGTAATTATACAGTACTTTCAGCCATCATAGCTGGGTTATCTTTGCTTCCCAGTTTCAGTGTGCCGAGAAACATGAACCACTTTTCTTTTGTTCACTCCCTGTGCCTCATTCCAGTTCTCTTGTTTGCTGAGTCCATCACAGTTGAGACTGAAATAGTAACATAATCTTTTGTTGGGTGCCCCCAAAAACAGATAATCTTGTTGATGTTCACTGTATTTTCTCTTCAGGCTCGTGAGGTTTCTGCGTTTTATGCGATACTTACTAGTTGCTGCCGAATCACTTAACATAAAGAGGCGTTAGAGATTATATTTGTTTCAGTATACACTTCACATACACTATGACAAAAAACTTTGTTTTTCCCTTTATTTTATCTTTCATCTTGCAAAATCATTCATAGACTTTTTCCTATTTTGTCACATTACAACAATTTATTTATGTGATACACCAACATGCAGTAATATGTAACTGTGAAGTGGAAAGTCAATGATGCACAGAAATCATGTATTCAGCCTCTAACTTAACATATTGCTACAGTTACAGCTGCAAGTCGTATGTTTCTGTTGGTTTTACACCTCAAAAGACTAATTTTTTTCATTCTATCCTGTCTCTGACTGCATGTTTGTAGTTTTGTCCCATGTGAAATTGAACTGCTGCCTCAGTGTTCATGGTTTTGCAGCCTCTAACAGGGATTATAACATGGTTTCTTACAGGGCTGGCCAACTATGACCAGCTTTACAGTTCCTGTTGAAATATTGCAACTATATGTCATAATACTGTCATGTCTGTGGAACCATATACAGACAGGTGTGTGCCTTTTCAGATCAAGTCCAATCAACTTCAATTACCACAGGTGGACTTCACCTAAGTTTTTTCTGCACTGCCATATTTGTGTGTAGACTTTTGAGGAAAGAGATTAATTTAATACAGTTTGTGAAAAGACTGTAACATAACAAAATGTGGAAAAAGTGAAGCACTGAATTCTTTCCAGAGGCACCAAAAGTTTTCATTTTCAGACTATGGCTTGAACAGTGCTCCATGTTTTGTCCGAAGTTTGGGAAGTTGTTTTGTCCATGTTTAAACCTCTCAGCCACTTTCTCCCTGCCCTGTCTGTGTTCCTTAGTCTTCATGTTTTTTCTATAATGGGGGTTAAATTCAAATGTGTGCCCTCTTGCTGAGACTTTTGTGTGGAGAAATAATGAAAATATTTTTTCTTCCATTTCACCATTATTCTTAATAGTGGTGAAATTATTAGGAATAAATTAGCATAGATTTAATTTTTTTTGATTGAAATCTATAATTTCAATAAAATATAGATTTGTGATTGAAACGTGACAAAATATGAAAAGGTTCAAGAGAAACGAATTCAAGCTTCACAGGAGCCTGAATTCATATGTAAAATTAAAAGCATATCATTTTATTCTTTGTACAAAAGAACAAGTGTTCTTTGTTCAAAATGAGTGAGGAAGAAGAAAAATAATAATAATAAAAAAACTTACATTGATCAAGATCAATTTAAAAACAATTAAGTAAGTCTGGCTCCTTGGAAGCAAAATACAAAGACAGTAGCATGTCTATGCTCTAAAATGAATGCCAGTATCACATTTCATAAAACACTCACCCCACTCTCATGTTCTCACTCCCTCTTTTACACCCTTCTTGTCTTTCTCTTAGGAAAATCAGCTGCGTTATCGCTGCTGCGCAATGGAAGATGACGGTGGGCAGCAAGCTCCACCTCTGCCCCCTCGCACAAGCTTTGAGAGGACAATCACTGTTGTCCGGGGCAACCGTAGCCTTGGTATGTTCTCTGTCTTTCTCCTGGTGATGGTGTCCTGGTGTGTGTACGTTGCAGGCATGGCCTTGATGACACTAATTGGAGATGGTGATGACAACTGCGCCGAAGAGGATTGGTGACGTGATGTGTTCATCAAACCTGAGAAAGGAGATTATTTCTGTGTGGGGGCAGGATGTGTGTGTTTTGAATGAGAGAGTTAACATTTTTTTTAACACTTAAAAATGCTAACTAATAGTAAAGGTAATGAGAAGGTGCAGTGGCTCTCAGTACACACCTCTGTAAAATACCAAGTTTTTGTTATGTAAGAAATGAGACCATGTTTGTTTTTAAAGCTTTTTTCTACCTAAAGTGTAACATTTATTCTGCACAAGGTGCAATAACCTATTTGCATATGGCAACATCCTTAAGGTAAACCATCTTCTGATTTAATTAACCATTAAGTCATCTTGCGTTCACACCCTTCTTGAGTTGTATTGAATCTGATTAACCTGAAATTGGCTTTTCCTCACTTTTCCATGCTTGCTGGCTTTAGCTGTAGCAATAGCTTGCAGAGATGATACAGAGAGTCAGAAAGATGTGATTGTACAAAGGTATCAGTCAGGAAAAGGGTACATAAAGTTTCACTTTTATATACCTCTACTTGTGGGCATTTGCATCAAGGCACAAGGAGCACAGTCATCAACAAATAGAGAAAGCATGTGACAATAGCAACATTAGAAAATTCAGACAAAACAAAGCCTCGTGAATCTGCCAGGAGATAAGCAACAAGAATAAGGTTATGGTCAGGTGAAACAAAACTTTAAAATTTTGTCAAAATTCTAAAAGGTTCACACCATTGACCATCTAACGAGCGCCATCCTCACAGTCACAGTAAAACATTGTATCAGCAGGATAAAGGTTGGGGTTCCAGGCGGATCTAAGATTTTTGTCAAGGTGGTTGGATGAGATCTTGAACAGTTTTGGCCACAAACCCTGAGGTGCCTGCTGGAAAACTGATAGATTTTACTTCTCAGCATTGCTAAGACTTCTTCCAAATCTCTACAAAAATGGCAGGAAATTAGAAATTTGGAATGTCCAATTCTTAATTTAAAAGCATATATGTGGGGTGTCATGAATAGGGCTGTGTACAAGAAATGTCATCAAAAGCTGAGAGATTTTGAGAACGTTTGCAGAGTAGAGTGGTACAATGTTGGAAGGTCAATATGTGGGATGATGACAGACACCTACCTGCATCCTAAATTTAATCAAAAGCTGTTTTGGACAAAGTATTAGATTTAGGGTGTTTCACACTAATGCATCCTGGTTATTTCACCCTTTACTTTTTTCCTAACAGTTTTGTTTATTTTCCCGCTAAATTATATGGAATAAACCTCAGGTTACATGTGGAAAAAAATTTCTGATCACAAAAACCTGTTGCCTTTTAACAGGAGTGTGTACTTTCTTGAGAGACACTGTATATCTCAATGTCTGAATTAAACCCATACATTTTATATGACGGTGTTGATCAATTTAGACTTTTTGTTATCTACAAAATAAGAGATTTTTGTCTTAACTCCAGTTCCAGTGTTTGGCTGTCTTAACATGACAGGGAACCAGCAGAGTCAAAGCCAATCCTCCACTTTTGTCTAAAGACACTATGCAAAGTATAAGGAAACCAAGTCATTTGTATTCCGAATGCATGTGTTGATAAGGCTTTCGACTACCTACGTCTGTGTGTGCTTGAAGAGAGAGAGAGAGAAAAAGAAAGAGTTTGAAATTATGTAAATGTTTGTGGTAGAGAAAATCAAGGTCACAGTATCAGTGCACCCTTCTCATCGGTTATGATTGTTTGGATCCCCATGCTGATTTATTTAATGACACAGACTCTACTGGAAATTCAAACACACAAAGCACACACACACACATATCATCATATATATATATATATGTGTGTGTGTGCTTTGTGTAAAATACATATAAAAATATGTGGATCAGGAGTTTATGAGTGGTGATAAGCAAAAAGTTTGGGCATCCTTTAATATCCTTTGACATGCTTTGGGATTTTTGCTACTTTTTATTACAGAAATTCTACAAGACTTTGTGTACCAAGCTAAAATAGTTATTTTTATGGGAATCTCATGCTTCTGTGAGTTTACTGTATGTAAGTTGAGTTTATACATTTTTGGCTAAGGATTGATGGTCTGTTCAGTAGAACTTTATGTTTCACTGAGGTGTTTAATAGTCCAAGAAAACATCAGACTGTCAGGTCTTTCCACCACTCAGATATGACTATTTTTGCCCAACTCGGGGTTTTTTTTTGTTTGTTTGTTTGTTTCTTGTAGTCCTCACTGCAATCAGGCATGGGCAAGTTTCTGAAATTCACAGTTTGGTAATCTTGAAAGCATATACCACAGTATTGCACTATCATGATGTTAAGATAGACAATTAATACAAAAATGTAACAAATGACCTCACTGCTTTTCTTTCAAACAGGAAGATGAAATATTGATGAATAAGTTACAAACTGTTGAGAAGGACACACTTTTGAGTTTTGAGGCAACAAAACAAGACAAGATTTTAGGAGTATATCTAGGAAAACTAAAAATCCACCCATCCATCCATCACCTTATACTCTTATCCCTGATGGGATCGCCAGAGGTCCTGGTGCCTAGCTTCAGCGGTTGACGGGCGAGAGGCTGGGTTCACCCTGGACACGTCGCCAGTCCATCGCAAACTAAAAATCCCTACTTGTTTTTCTTTTGAACAATTAAGATTTCACAAATTGCGTTCTGTGTTTTACAGAATTGTACCTTAGTGTAGAATATTACAGTGGAAATTTGACTAGTTTGTATAATTTGGTATTAAGGTTGTCTAAATAGTGGCCCAAATGTTGAAAGAAATTTAGAAAATGCTTTATTTTTGTTAATTTCACAAATTTTGTATATCTCAATGTTTGCTTTAAATAATCTCTCCCTAGTGAAGTATTGTCCAGTTGTCCAATGTTGGATTAGAAATGATAAAATGCAGTCCTGATGTCCAAATAAAAACCTATGACACTATCATTTAACGTACAGATGGGGAGCTCCCAAGCAGATGCTACTTTTAGCTTTGTTAGCAGCTAAAAAAAAAGATTGCCAGTCTTTTTTTCTTTTTTTTTTACACTCCTTACAAATCAAATCTTGTCTGTTGCTCTTGTCACTGCCTCAAAAGACTGCCACAAACAATTTAAAAACAATGACGGCTCCTTCAAAGCTTTATTACATCGTGTTGTCAGCTCGCGTGGAAGCAGTCTTTATTTGCTAACTCTGTCGGTACAACAGGACAGTTCAAGAACTACTTACTCTTTCTCTTCAAAATAAGAGTCTAACACAAATGCAGCATTCCTAATAATAGCTTAGAATTACTTCACCAGAAAAGGTCACATGCTAGCACCAGCTGAAATTTACTTTGCAAGACACTCTTCACTTCAAAAAAAAAAAAAAATGCCTTTTTTTTTTTTATTGAGATCTCATCTTAATCTGAGGTGGTAGCTTTTAAGAATGACGTGTTCTCATTAGAAGGGGCAGTTCACCATAGAATACCTTTGTATCTTGGTAGACCTTGATACCGGGAACTGGCTAATGCCTATCTGCTGTGATCTGTTTGTACCACACAGAGCTTTAATTATTACAACCTAAATGTTTTTTTTTTATATAATTTTCTAAATATGAAAATATTTTCTAAATAATATAATTTTCTAAATATAATGTTGTTGTTTTTTTTTTTTATAATCCCCAAGTCTGAACAAGTCTGAGTTTTGCTCAGACTTTGGTGATTAAGATGCAAGGAAGATTTTCTTTAAGTGAATGATGAAGGTCAATGCCTGATTATTTAAGTCTTTTGAGTACTCCTACAATTTAATGTTGATTGTCCTTCCAGTCCCATGAGGTGTTCTTTGAGCAAGATTGGTATTTTCTTAAGCAAGAAAAATAGCTTTTGAACATAATAAACACTCTTCCATACCTTCCTGATTATTGAGATAAGGTCTCGTAAACTAGCATTTATGTACTTTTTCCAAATAACGGTATATTTGTTCCTACAAGCACTTCTTTGTTATGAATACTGGTGGGTCATGAGTCTAAAATTTCTCTAATTTTCCGGTGTTTTGTCTTAAGAAATGCGTGCATCATGATATTATGTTAGTATTTAGGTTTTTATGATAGAAGGTATAGCTTTAAAGAGTTGTTACAGTTTCTTGCAAAAGTATTTCTATTCCTTGAACTTTTATTTACAGTTTGTCACATTAAAGCCAGAAACATCAATGTACTTTGTACTAATTATGTGTGATAAAGTGTTTTGAACTGCCTAAAGCACTTTGAAGGCCGTTGTTGCTGAAGTGTGCTATAGAAATAAACTTGACTTGACAACACATTGGCCGTTAGTTTTGCACAGAAGAGAGTTGTCTGCATGGTTTTTACAACTAATGAAAAAATAATAATCTTGGATAGGTGTTAAAACTTGCCCTGTGCTTATTCCATCAGTTTCCCCATCACTTCTGACCAGAAAAGCATCCCTACACCATGTTTCATAGTTATGTTTTTTTTTTTTTTTTTTCCATCCCCCATAGTTTCTTCATTTTCATAAAATGCAAAACTTTTGGTCTCATTTGACCAAAGCACTTTCTTCCATGTGTTTGCTGTGTCCTCTACATGGATTGTGTCATACTGGAATCAGGGCCTCATGTGGCTTTTTTTTTTTTTTCAAGAATTGCTTCAGTCTTGCAACTCTTCTACCATAATTACTTCACTTTTAATACTTGTATCAGACCTGATTCATGAATCTCTGTGACAAGATTCAAGGAGTATAAATACTTTTGCATGGTGAAGTTTAATACTTTACGGTACCTCGTTCTACATCTTGGATATTTAAGTTCTTAGATTTAAAAACTAACCTGAGAGCTCAAATCTCTTATGATGCCTTTAAGTCTTTTGATGGTGCTTTTGTTCTTGTTTTGTCATTTAAATTTAGTTTTATGAAGCCCATAATATCTGTTATACATAACAGATATTATATGATTGTACATTTCATTGTACTACTATTTTAGGATAAGTTCACTTTCTCAATTAACAGAAATCCGCGGTCACAGAAATGCCCAAACCTTTGCTGGTCCACAGAGACAGGAAGAGATTTTATATTCATTGTATTTGAACAAAACCTGGTACCATATTGTTGTTTTTACTTGATCTGGTTGCCATGTGTAACTCTCTCCATAACCATATTAATGTCCAGCTTTGGGAATTTAAAACAACTTATTTTGCTTGTAGCAAAGAATGAACATACAGGTGCATAACAGCAAGTTTTAAGGAAAAAAGGTTTGAAAAACTAAGTCTTGTTCTTGCCTTGTTTATTTGACTATGCACCAATCATTACATGTTCTTAAATTTTCTAAGCAATTGCTGTAACACTTTTCCACTTGAGTCTTTTGAACTGTTAATATGTGCTGTTGAGCTTAAATCAAATGCTTTTGCATGTGAACTATTAATTTACTTATAATTATTAGAAATGCACCAATGAGAATTTTGCGACCCATTTCTGATTTGTGGAAAGTTTTGAAATATAGATTTCCCAAATTCCACTTTGTCTTTGATAAGTATAAAAATACTTTCTTCCATCCTTCCTTCAGAAAGCAACCTTCATTCATATTAGTAGCAGCTGCCACTACAAGGCAGCTTTTTAATATTTTAAAGCAACAAAATCTTTGCATTGTTTTGCAGATGTTATTAGCAGGTAGCATTATTAGCATCACCTGTATTTAGTAAAGAAAAAAGAAACTCTTTACCTCAACTCTGGGATTTCCAGAACACAAAATATATTTAAAGGTCCACTATGTTACATAACAGTTTAAAACTTAGAAGAATGAAACAGAGCAACCTTGATGTAATATTTTCAGCCTCCCTGTCATCTGCTGAAAGTGTTGCTCTTTCTCAATCTCTTACAGCCTCAGTAAACTGCAGATGTCTTGACATGTCATAATACAATATTTAGTTTAAATAGCTTTTTACTTTTTTTTTCTTTTATCTGTGTCTGCACTTTTAAACAACCCATTGATACTGAAAATGGCTCTGAGATTTCTTTCCTCAACAACAACAACCACGTCAAAAAGTGTTGCTGCTGAGGTGTATCTTTTAAGAATGATGTGTTCAAGAAAGGATTTTTAGATTCCTAAAAGAGCATCCAAATTTCGATGCCTGCTGCTTTTCTTGGTGCATCTCTATTAATTAAACATATAAGCACTTTTAGAGCTTGTAATATTAGATGTATTTTGATGCAGTGTTGTACTTCATCACCTCTAGAGTTGAAAACTTTAACTGTTATTTCTTTAGACTTCAGTCTTTGAAATGTGTATCTTTGGTTTGTCCTGTAAGTGGCAGTTGCTGTGTTCCCAAATTATTGTACTCCATGCACTATGATTGTATTGCAATTTGAATGTAATACCAAAAAAAAAGCAATAAACTATTTATTTAAGTAAAATTAAGCACAAAGTCATTTTTTTGACCAAGTTCAAATTTTGTACGACCATAGTGTTGTGGATGTGCTTCATTAGTAGCTAGCAGCACCTTAAACCAGCCTATCTAATCTGGCATAGCCTTCCCTCTCTACACCATGTTTAGGTGTGTGCATGAGGTGTGTGAGACCTGATTTACCTACTTCTGCCTGTTTGCATTAATGACTCGTTAGCGTAATCCACCTAGTGTCCAAACTGCTAACGCCAAAGTCGGGTGTTTGTGCGAATGGCAAGTGTCACTCCTCCAGTCACCTGTGCCCATCTGCCCTCTGTGAGCACGAGTGTGTGTGATTGCATTAATGCAATTTATGCGAGTGAGAGTGTGAAGGATGCTGCCGTGCAAATGTCAAGCATATGTGGCCATGTCTGTGTGCTAATCTGCCTCGTGTCTGTCTTGATTATACTGATTATTGCAGCAGTCAGGTGTTTGTTTGGGCACATGTCTGTTTGGCGTGCAGTCAGAGCAGTCTTGGCCTATCCTCTACTCACCCATGCTTCTGTGTGCTTCTGTGTGATGTGTTTGTGCGCCTGTTGGCAGGGATGTCGGTGAGTGCTATCAAGGACGGCACAGGCATGCTGGTCCGGAGCGTGGTCCAGGGGGGCTCTGTTTGCCAGGATGGCAGACTGGGGGTGGGGGATGTCATCTTGGCCATAAATGGAGAACTTGCCTCAAATCTGAGCAGCGCCCAGGCCAGGTCCATGCTCCGCAGGCACTCTGTCATAGGGCCAGAGATGAGGTGAGAAGTGTCTCTTGCCCACAACACTGTTAAACTGTTATTAGCTAATTAAAAAAACAAACAACTTGTACATCATCTACTTATATAAAGGAATAAATAATCTTTTATTTAAACTTACTTGACACTTTAGATGAAATTTACTGACAATATTTAATTTTTAATTTAGAAAATAAAATGTATGCCTTCACGGAGCATGCCTTTGTACATCTGAGTCATTCTATATTGTTTTTGAGTTAATTAGTTATTTAATTTAATGTAATACAATTATAAATAAATAAATAAAAGCCCCCAAGGTTTTCAAAGTTCAAAAATCTTATCCATACAATCCAATGTATTTCCATGTTCAAGGTAATTAGAATTGCACGACCACAGCATATATATTACTGAAATAAAAATGTTGTTTGGTTTACAAAATACTTAACAGATAAAACAATGGTCTGATGTAAAATGCTTCACATAGAGTTTAGTCTGCGGGTGCTGTGCGTTTGGGTTGTTTTGGATGGTGATCTCAGTAGGAGTTACGGCGATTCCTGAGAGTGTCTCTCAAATTCTTAGACCCATTTAACAGCTTCATACTGCAAGTAAAACATTGACTCTTCAGAACACCACACAACCCTAAAAAAATATAAAAATGAATTATCCCTTTAAGCTATCACAAATTAATACTAATAAATCATAAATAATGTGTAAATCATTTAAATGTGCTTATTGCTCAGAGCCTTGGGTACAAATGCAAAGCGATTACTCATTGCTTTTCCAGTTATTTACATCTCTTAAAGATTTTAGAGGGTTCCGGTTTGAGAACCATGTAGTGGTATGCAGTCAATTATTCCCACGAAGTCAACATATTAGGTTGACCATTTCCATGATTTGAATGACTGCATTACTCCTATGGTTAATCTAAGTGTGCACTATGCAGAGCACAACAATCTTCATTGCATTATTATAGACAAATAATGTTTCACTTATTGCAGCCAAATCTGACTGAGGCGATACAGTCATGTTCAGTTTAGATGATGAAATTCTTAAAGACTGCCTGAGGAAAAACTGGCTACATTATCACTTGTTTCAGCATCAGCAATTATGGCTCCACATTGAAAAAGCTTGTTTGGCTGATTGGGGATGTGCTCCACCTCCACTATCCCTCTGCCCTGTTAAACACCTACTCACATTCTCTCTCTGCATCGCTCTCCCCTGCTTTTAAAGGCATCACACACACACAAGCACACACAAAAGCATTCAGTGGCCTAACCTCCAAAAACACCCTCTTCCTGCTATGGGAAATATTTCTGAATAATTCATCTCTCATCTCACCTTGAACAGTGTACCTCTGAATAAAGGAGCGTTTTAAAGAGTCTCTCATGCACACACTGCACACAGAATACACACACTGATGAACACACACATGTTTTTTTTTCTTTCTTTCTTTCTCCACGTACACACAGAAACACTCAACTCCACACACACGCACACACACACACACACACATGCTCTCTTTGCCTCCTTCTGACAGCACTTCAGACAATCTAAAAGCAAGTGGAGGCAGTTGAGTTGCTTTGGCAGCGAGAGAGTGAGGCACGCAGAAGGATGAGGGCTTGTCACTATCAAACTGCGTCTTTTGAGACAAGACAAGCTGTCCGCACGGTTCAGTCACAACAGCTTAGCACTGAAAACGTAAAGATTCAAAATACCTTCATGAATTAAGGAAGATTTGAGCAACTGTTTTCTATTACTCTTTACAGTAATGTATGATAGCATAAGTGTATAGTACAAGTGCAATGAGGCATTATTGAATTCATAAATTTATTGTCATAAAAAGAAAAAGATCTTAGCTCTGTTGAATTAGAATCCCCCTCCCTCCCCCCACCCCCCTTTTTGGGAAGGTTGTAAAATTAACTTTTTTGATTTCATTGACCAGGAAAATGACAATTGAACATGATGACATTATTTAATACAGTGTTTTGTATAAGTGTTACTATTCCTAAAACTTCATGTTTTGTAATTTTATGACTTTCATCTACAGTGGAACTAAAACGATACATGGTTTTCACAAAATTTCGTGACAAATAAAATCTGAAAAGTGTGGTGAGAATTTGTAACCAGTTCCCTTAATTCTGACAGGACGAAAAATAACCAACCACCTGCTTTCAGCAGTTGCATAATTAGTACAGTAAATGGAATCCACCATTGTATGATCTGATTTCAGTTCAAAACCAGCTACTATACACAGATCTCAGAGGTTTGTTAGAGAAGATCTATGAGCAAACAACATCACAAAAACCAAGGAACATCAGACAGGTCGGAGAGAATGTTGCGCAGAAGCTTAAAGCAGTTTTAAGTCTTCTGATAATGTGGCTAACCACAACAAGAGGTGAACCTTGCCCAGATTAGGGATATCAGTGCACCATCGTGGAGCCAGGCCTGTGGGAGAGCTCACAAGACTCAGTTCAAAGAAGCTACAGGAAGCCCCCTCTGCCTGGGCCCACCACCTGCAGATAGGAATATCAGGATCAGGTGCCGCGCAAAGTGGGAGGAAGGAAGGTGAGGGCCGGAACCCTTGGTTTGGTCATTTCCTGTTGGTATAATCCGGCTTTAGGGAGATGGAATGTCACCTCTCTGACAAGTACGGAGCCAGAGCTAATGTGTGAGGTTGAGTGGCACACGCTAGAAACAGTTGAACTCATGAGACAAGTCAAAGTGAGGCTCAGTAGTGTTTATTTCATGTGCCTGTATGATCTATCTACAATGCCTGAGCATGCATGTGATGAGGCGACGGATGTTCTCCTGAGGGATCTCATCTCAGATCTGGATTTTTTTTTAAAAACAAAACAAGGAATGCTATGTCTGGAGACAATAATGCCTTGTACCATCTTTGAACCTGTTCAAAGGGGAACATGGGAATGTTGCTCAATTAACAGAACATGACGTATCTGTCGCAAGAGGTTGAATGCCAATCAGGCCACATCAGACTCAGCATGCCACACAGCCTTCAGTACAGACCTATAATTATCTCAAGTTGACAAGTGAAATGCTGTTGCTAGTGGTTCTCTCAGTTTGCACAGTAAAACCCCTGTGGATGGTCCAGAATGTGTCATTTTAGCAAACAGCGTGGGATATATGTCAATCATGTGCTCATTGAACTCTAATGGCTTCTCAAATATCTATAGAGCATTGTGTGGTTGCAAAAATATTCTCACTGCTTGAACCTTTTCAACCTTCAGTTTACTTTTGTGGGATTCTATTTCTAATTATTATGAGAAGAAATAATGCTACATAGTCCTCAAATGTTTTCACAAATAAAAAGCTTAAAAGATGTGCATTTGTATTTAACCCCTCGCCCCCAAAAGTCAGGCAACCTAATGAAACATTTGATTCATTTACTCATAGAATTACCAGATTATTTTACCAGATTATTTATCAAAGGACTGTTGTGGTCACCAACTGTAAGGATTTCTGGAAGTCAACAAAATGCCACAATGTCTATGAAATAAAACATGTAAATTATACTTTGAGTCTTAGAAATAAAAAAAATATATAAATAAATTATGTTCATCAAGGCCTAATATCTACTTATTGATCTTTTCAACTATTTTTGTTCTCACTAAAGAAAAATAACTTTTTCCGAACTAATGGTGACGTTTACACAGTACGCAAGCTTCCTTGTCAGTTTTACTTGACTATATATATATTTTTTTTCCCCTACCTAACCCTGCTTTCAGGATAACCTATGTTCCAGCTCATCAGGTGGACGAGCACCGAACCCGTCTGGGTTTGCCTCCTCTGGCGTCCATCTCAACAGACAGTCCATCTTCTTCGCCCACCCTACCTACCTTTGAGCCTGAGTCGGTCTCAGTCAGATCCTCCTGTCCTCCGGCTTCATCAGCGCTCAGATTGTCTGCCTCGGTCAAATACAAAACAACAGCAGCTCCAGAGCCACCCACAGTCAGGGCCACTGTTTCATTCAAAGCCTTCAGAGGGCCAGCCGTAGTCCCCACCATCACCCTAGCCTCAGACACAAGGTAATGTAAGACAGAGAGAGAGAGTTCTGCCTTTTATTTGTGATCATCCAATCCTTACCACCTTTTCATTGAGATCAATTTACAATTTTTATCTAACACTTGCTGAATAATGTTAGTCACTGGGGCATGATACGGGTACCTGGAAAACTAAAAACACTTATTTCAGAGACTTATTGCTTCAAGGCGATGGTGTGGACCAAAGCATCCGGTTCCATTCTTTATTAGAATAAGTTGACATGAATAAAATTAAATAAACGTGACATTATAAGTTATTTAATTTAACAACCTAACACACTTCAGGCGGAGTACAACATCAGAGATCTCACATGCACCTTGGTTCTTCTAATTAACATTTATGAAAACAGAACGACTCCACAATTGAGTCAATACTCCTTCTGCACCAAAGTTATGGGACTGCAAATACGGCATATCTAATATTTGAAAAAGATCCAACATCTGTCACTTTAATTAACCGCATAGGTGAGAAAACACTGCCACAGGATGTAGCCAGCTTTATTGTTCCAGTCGGTATTTCTTCCTCTCCGTTCTTCTCCGTGTTGAATCCCTGAGTTATATTTAGCTGTTCGTGTGTGGATCTCAGAGCCGACTGTCAGCAAGAATGAATCGTTTCGCTTCTGTTTGTTCCTGTTTTCACTTTTCTTCTCCCTGCCGTCATCCGTTACTCCCTGCAATCTTTTCTTCATTTTTATCTTTCAATCATGTCTGTCTGTTCTTCTGCTATGTGTCTGCATCCGTCTTTCATCTCACCCTCACTCTTCTGTGTTTGCTTCCTCGTTGTGTGTCTCTCCTCCCAGTCTGGTTGCTGCCGTCTTCTCCCAGTCGCCCTCTCAGTCCTGCTAGGATCATTTGTTCTGCTTTCTTCTGAGCATTAACTGGCTACGGGCTTGTGTGATGGCGCATCCTCGGCTCTTATTACAGCCGCGCACCGTTAAACATATTCATGAAAATATCTGCCTTTCTCTTACTCTTTCTCCCACACTCACACAAACTCGGTGCACGCGCTGTCAACAGAGATACTGTACGCATTAGCACACACCCACACACACACCTCAAGACACAACCTTGTTGTGACTTCACTGGGAGAAAATAAATATTTTCAGGGCTATTTGCACTTTAATCAGTGTATTTTCTCAAGGCTCAACAATATAATTCAGTTTCAACCTTTGTGACTTGTAAAGGAGTAAATAACTGCTTGAAAATGTTGTCTTGCGATCACTGTGTGCAAATTTATCTGCTATCACTATCATTGGTTTTTATGTGTATATATATATATATATATATATATATATATATATATATATATATATATATATATATATTAAACCGCAAATTGCTATTACAATAATAATCATGGGGCCCGTTTTATTCAGCAAAAATGCAATTACTCTTATGATGATGTGATAATAATTTTATTTTTATTGTTATTATTAACAGTGCTACTAGATGTGTAAGTTTGGAGGATGAGACACTTATAGAGAGACAGAGAGATGTAAAATTAAGGAAAATTGCTTGACTGCTTATTTCCTTGTCATATCAGTGATTTGGCAGTAATTGCTTTATTGTTGGAAAGCCTGTTTTTGTGCATTTCAAAGGTACGACATTTGATTAGGAAGTTATTTGCATTTGTGGGTTGAGCAGTACAGTTGAGCATTTGGGTTACCCATGGAGATGGACCTCACATTTTTGAAAACTTTGAGCTGAACAATTTTGTTTTTCACTTGACAAATTTGAAATTAATGTAACTCACCCTTATGCTGTTTACTGGTTCTCTACACCATGTTTTGTGATTTTCGTCATCTAATGGTACTAGAAAATAATCCAAATTATTCCAAATAACTGCCAAAACTTTGTTTTGCTAAACACAGCTTGACGTTGTCCTCTCTGTATAGATCAGTCAAACCAACTGAATGTTGTAAGAGCCATACTCACAGATTCTGTCAACATGTGAGGGACCAAAACTCATAAAAGCAAGGATTTAACCAGTTTTGCAGCTGGTCATGTTCCCTTCTGCGTTGAGTGAGTCCAGAATATAGCTACATTTAAGATGTGATGCTCTTTATTGGTTGCTGAAATATCTCTATTTTTTTTTTCACTGCCTTAAGCTCTTGTTTGGAATAAAGTGGATTACTTAATGCTGTTTTAAAATGCTAAAAATGTAAGATTTAAACCACTAACTGATTTCATAACTTGACATTGAAATGGCTTGTTTGTACCTCCTAATATTTTGAGCTTTTTGTAGTCTTGCCCAAAGCTGCTCAGCTCACAAAATTGGGGAGACAGCTAATAATTATAGAATTGACAGAGGTAATGGTTGTTGGACATCACATTGTCTGTAAATTCTCAAAATTACTGTTTGAAACCTATTGACATATAATTTGGAGCACACAGTTGACATTTAATTTGGATGACACATAACATGCTTCACAGCATCATTTTTAAAATGCTATTTTTCCCCCCAAAGCATTTAAATGATTTGCAATCAGTTTCACTCTGTTTTTGTTTTTTGTTTTTTTCCCCTCTGGGTGTCTTTTCTCCTACCACCAGCTGGCAGATTCCAAAATCCCTCCAAAGACCTCCAAATAGCAAAGTGAAGGAAACGGATGCAAAGGAGAGAGCAGACGAAACAAACGAAGGTGTAAAAGTAAAAAACCCACAAGTGAAAATAAAGGTTGATGGTAAAGAAGGGGTTTATAATGAAGAGGTCTGCTCCCATGCAGCCTGGTCTTGGGATCAGCCTAAAAGGTCAGTAATTCCCTGTGTTCAGCTTCACTTGTCTGATGCTTTTAAACCAATTCCCAGGATGCTTTTCATGGCGTTCTGTGTTAGGGAAGGTTTACAGAATCCAAGAGGGCTCCAATTACGTTCACAGTGGTCTTAGAACAACAGCACAGCAGATTTTTTTTTTTCATGCAACATCTTTTCTTGAGATTTGGAGAAAGTAACTGCTTTACCATCTTCTGTTTATTGTGTTTGTGCCACTTGGATAAATCACGTAATATACGCGGTGCACACACACACACACACACACACACGCACACACACACACACACACACACACACACACACACCAAATTATTGTTCATGTGGCTTCCTGTGAGAAACAATATGTTTTTGTTTTCACTTAATCTTTGGAATATAATCCCCAGTGGTAAGCAGAGAATACAGGGAAACGGAATGTTTGCAAAAAAAAAAAAATAATAATAATAATAAGAGTATACAAATCGGATTAATTCTATTGCTTTTTTTTTTTTTTTGCAGCGGTGTGTTGAGCACACCTCTAGTTTTTAGAGGGATAATGAGCTGTTCAGTATCTGCCTCCTTCCTCTGTGTAACAGTGTGCAGCTGACTCGAGCACCGGGCCAATCGCTGGGTATCAGCATTATGGGAGGCAGAGGCATGGGCCGCAGACTGAGCAGTGGAGAGATGATGAGGGGTGTCTTCATCAAGCACATCAGCCCCGACAGCCCTGCAGCACTTAATGGCACCCTTAGAGTTGGGGACAGGATACTGGAGGTTTGTGTGCATGCGTGTGTGTGTGTGTGTGTGTCCTTGAAGGTTACACATTTAGAAGTCAAGAAGTGGTTGTAATAAAGTAACTACATAGCACAATATTTAAAAAAATGAAACAATTGGAAGTGAGACTAAATGGATGGAGGAAGGCACCCAAGGTAAAATTGAGGGGGGAGTCAAACATCTGACTGGAGTGCGGTAATTAAAATCATTCTAAATTTATATCTTATATATCAACCATCACTGTGGGAATAAAATATGACCTCTTTAAATGAGTCAAGATGTGGTTTGTAAAACTGTTAGTTTCAGAAATGTCCTTGTTGACGAGTATGATCCAAGAACGGCGATGCGTGTCCGAGTTAACAGAGCGGCTACTGTAACTTGGATAACATTTTTTTTTCTTTCTATACAAGTGGATGGCTGCAGAATGCACATGTTCAGCCTTGAGGCAAAGAGGTGATAACAGCAGAAGACCATGTCAGGTTCCACTCGCATCAGCTGAATAAAACAGACACAAACATCTGAGGCAGCTGTGAGCACGGACTCAACAACAACATTTATTTTTCTTGTCAAGTATCGTAAAGTAAAACAAAAGCATTTTGCATTTAGGAACAGAGTACACACCACTTATCCCTGAATATATGGATGTGAGTTCTCATGGTTACCCAAAGCTCTATGATTGGTTGTTCAGCTCCTATCTGAAGAAACCACTTTGGAAGTGAAATCCTCTTCTGAGCTCGAGTCAGTGGATTTAACTCACAACTTGTCAGAACATTTTCTTACCAGTCCCAGGAGAAGAGTTTATCCATTTCCACAAGCATGGTTGTGTCAAATGTTCTTTTTCTCAACATCGAGCACTTGTCTTTTTCTGATGTGGAAAGGACTAGATATTTACCTGTTTGTAAATTAAAATCTGGTCTGCACCATTACTGGGAATACCTACCCCACAAGGAGGAGGGAGGGGAGGGCGTAGAAGTAGAGGTGATCCCTCGGAAGAAGTTGGGACTATTACGTCAGTCTGGTTCATGTCTGCTGTTTCTTACCAGCACCTGTGACAGAACGCCCCACTGCCCACCCTGTGAAGTGTGGGCTTATTCTATCATTTCCACCAGTCATTCACATCCCTGTTTTATAACGTCTCACATAAAACACAAGTGGCTTTCACAACCAGGAAGCACAGTCCATTTCTACAGGCATGTGCAGAACTTCACATAAACACACGTAATAACTCCAGAATGTCGGGTACATGTAAAAAAAAAAAAAAAAAAAAAACACAAAAACAAACACAACCACAAGAAACCATTATTGGCCAAAACTTTGCAGTTGGACTTTTTAGAAT